CAAAAACAACATCAACAACAACAACAACAACAACAACAACAACAACAAATAAACAAACAAAAAAGAAACAAAAAAACAAAACAAAAGCAAAACCCCAACAAAACAACAACAACAAACAGCTTGCTGCTGTTTATTAAGCCCCGTTATCGTTTCTTTTTTTTTTTGACGGTAGGAGAATTAAAAATGGACACCTACCATCAGATCTACCATTCAAGGTTGAAAATCCACAGTTTGGTGATTTTATAATGAACGAAAACTTGATATTATTATGACAGTACAATTTATAGTTGCTACTATATTGTTACACATAGTATTATCATCAGTACTGCTACTGCAGCTGCTATCTTTACAACTATAGTGTACTTCTACTTATCTATGCTATTGCATCTATTGCATTATTATTATTGTAGTGAACCTGTACGATGCACCCAAAGGGCGTTGTTTTATACTGGGCCCAAATAAAGAAACTCTTAAATTTGTGGGTCAGGCCTTCGTAGATCTATACATTGGCACGTGAGTAAATAAGCTAGATTTCTTTTTAGTGGACAGACGATAGTGGATATGCTACATTTTCGTTTTATTGTTATTACTGTCTTTAAGGCTTTAACCCTTCACTGCCCGAGTCGTCCTACTGGTTAAACTGTAAGAGCCAGTGAACTCCGTTTTCTTCTCCTTTCTTTTTTTTTTTTCCTTAGTGAAGCGCGAGCTACCTCTGTTACATAAATCCATTTCCATGGACAGATCTATACCCAATCAACCCTTCATTTCACTTCCCCCATCAGTCAAGGTACCTCGTCCCTCACCCCGATCAACTTCCCCTCACCTCACCTTACCCCCCCCCCCAACTCCCTCCTCCGCCAATTCCCTCCCTTGCGCCAGCCCCTCCTCCCATTCCCCAACCCTCATTGTCCCCTTTTGTTTCTTTACAGTATTTTGATCAAACAAGACTGGCACTTTCTCTTTGTTTTTTCTCTTTTCAAGAGTTTGCTCTTCGATCAGTGCTAATCAGTCTCAATCATAAATTAAAATTAAAGTGAATCCCCTTCAACGACGAATGAAGCTCTGTTTTCAACGACTGGGCGCCTCTCGCCTCTCAATGCTATTTTGGTAAACTGGGTCACAGCAGGACAGCACAGCAGTATGGTTCGAGGGAGACCACCAATGAACGTACGAGAAAAAACAATCGAAAGACCGAAAGTAAGGCAATATGCCAGCGTGGCAAAATCCGCCAAATCTAGCTCCTCCACTGTGCTGTCGCGTTTGGCTCTCTCTCAAATGCCACCAGAAACGGAACCGGTAGTTGAGACAGGTTCATCGCATTAATTAAACAATGCATCACGACCTTCGAAATTATTGCAAGCTTTGCGAGTTTTGCTTACTTTTAGGGAGAAGGCTGCTTTTCTCTACTTCGCCGGTAATTTGTTTGCTTTTGTTTCTAAAAATTTATTTTGCATTAGCCTAGCTGAACTCAACATAAAATATAGGCCTATAGGCCTACACATTTCTGCTCTCTCTCTCTCTCTCTCCCTCTCTCTCTCTCTCTCTCTCTCT